CTATCAATATTAAAAATGAAGAACTTTTTACAGAAGGGTTTGCTTAAGTATATTCATTCATAGCCTGAATTATACAACATTGGTATACTACAAAACATGGCAAAAAATTGATATTTTAGGGCCTGTTGACAGTATTTTCTGATTTATGGACGTGATGAAAAGAGATACTCCCAAATCCCTCTGTAAAAGCCTTAGATAACTAAATAATAGACTAAAGAACAATAAAAAAAAATAGAACCTGCGCTTTATCCAAGGTTCAGATTTCGATTCCTGAAATGTGTTAAAATATGCACATATTTGATGAGATAATGGCTAATTTGCATATTTAAACATGCTATTTCAGAAAACTTGTAATACAAAAGACAATTGCCTTATTGTAAGTAATTAACTGGAGAAATTTCTAGCTGATAACTTCAAGTTAAAAAAATTACCCTATTCACCTGGGGTGTCTCGCCTTAAGGTATTAAAATGCTGTCTTATACGGTGTTTCTGTTGGACCTAGTCATGCTGCTTTTAAGGTTTTTTAAAGCACCTTGTTGTTAAAATCTGCCTCATAAACAACATGTCTAACAACTTTTCCCCTCACGTTCTCTAACACATGACGTATTATTGATCTGCTGTATTACCTGTTTGTGCGTGGCCTCCCTCACGTTCAGGATCTTTCCTCTCAGCGGGAACACTCCGTATCGATCTCGTCCTATGACTCCCAGTCCGGAGACGGCCAGAGACTTGGCGGAGTCGCCCTCCGTCAGGATGAGGGTGCATTCAGCCGAGTGTTTCCCTCCTAAAGCAAGGTGAAGAGGAGGAGGTTGATCATCTAAGTAATATCCTGGAGATTAAGGATAACTGGGGTTTGTTCTGTTAGGGTCCACACTCCATGGAACAACCATCAGGAGGAGACAGACTGAAGATCTTTTTTAAAAACATACTTTTGTGGCTTTATTTCACAAAACCAGGTTTTTAAGAGGCAACAACTACAGCTTTGTAGACAACTTCTACACATTAGTAAATCTAATCTGAATGTGAAACGATCTCACAGTGAACTCACCAGCGTCGTTGGCGTCGTCCAGTTTTGGGATTCCTTTGATCTTGCTGTACTTCACAGAGGAGCACTTCTTATTGAGCTGCGTCTGAGCTTTGAACTTCACCCAGTTCAAGATGCTCTCCACGATCCCACAGTTAGTCGCCTGCAGGGAAACCAACACGTGGGATATTATATTTTAACTGTACTATGTATTATTTTATTGACCTGTACTTAAATCATGTTTTATAATTGTTTGTTTGATAGAGATGATGCAGTGTTTGTTGATTGTTATGAACCTGCCTCAGGACTGCAGATGGAAATTAGATATTAGCTATAATCTGGCGTAATTAATCTCTTCTCTTTTCTGAGATGAATGTATTTGTGTACATGGTCCTTGTTGAAATAAATACATGATAGGTGGCACATAGTCATATAAAGTATAAAATAATATAGTTTTTTATATATTCATTTGGGTTCATGAAAATAATTAGATTGTTAAAGTGATGTTGTTTGTTGCCAGTGTTGTTTCAAAGGATCGCCACTAGGTGTCAGTCTTGAGACACAAACAGTGCATTTTGAAGGTGCCGTGAAGTCTCGCGAGAGCACGTGAGAGAACGAGAGTTTGTGTACAGAAACAAGTGTAGTTCGTTGAATGTGGAGGTGATTTTCTGTATTGTTCATAAAACTTAAAATATTAATATGATGATATTGAAGTGACTGCTATTTTGTAAATATAGATTGTTGTGTTTTTTTATCTTAATGTGTGCATATGTATATGCATATATATTTTCTTTTCACTATATCTGTAAAGCGTCTTTGAGCACCTGTAAAAGCGCTAACAAAATTAATCTATCATTATTATTATATGTGTAAATGTGTCTGTTGATTGTGTATATAGGATATACATATTTTATACATATTTGTATACTGTATAATTTTACATTTGGGATTGTTGGAAACGTAATTTCGATCTCTCGGTCTGTACGCACAAACTGAGTAAGATTGACATTAAAGTTAACTTTGATTAAATGTGTAGCATTGGAGTGAGCCTGTGTGACAAAAACACACAAAGATCCTTAAAACCACTGATAACCCACAATATTTACATTTACAAGAGCTGCACGGTTTTTAAAACATAAAAATAATTTGAGGTGTTAATAATATATCGTTGCTATAGAGAAAGAAGATCCTGGTGTGATTTCTAAAGATCTGTAGCAAACAAGGATTTGATCTCAAGATGTTGATTATGATGTATAGCTTCTGATATCTCCGCAGCTCCACAAGGCTTCATTCAGAATAGTATTTCAACACAAATGTAGACTTTAAAATCTGATCTGAATAACCCACTCGTCCATTTTGCAATTCAGCCTTAACATTTACATAATATTAGAACATTAGCTTCAAATAAGCTCAACCTTGCTGTAAAAATTCAACCATTTGGGTTAGGGCAGGGGTGTCAAACTCAATTTCATCGCGGGCCACATCAGCATTATGGTTGCAATCAAAGGGCCGGTTGTAACTTTAAGACTATATCAATATATAATATATATAACATAATGTATTATATTACATAATTGCCTCTGCATTGGATTATTATCGGATGGGGTAATAACTTCATAATTAACTACGTTTGAAAGCAGAAGTCCAGGGCAAATAATTGCAAGTTTCTTCAGTGCGCATGTCACAAAATGAGATGCATTGTGGGACATGTAGTTTATTGGCAACGTGCTTCTATAAAGCGGCATGTAACCGTATAACAAACGTATTATATTATTTGCAAGCTCTTGCAGGGCCACATCAAATTAAGTCGCGGGCCGGATTTGGCCCCCGGTCCTTGAGTTTGACACCCCTGCTCTAGATGATAAGAAAGGACCTTCAATGCTTCCATTATCATCTCCCTTAGCTCAGGATACACTGGACCATCCTTTGTCCCACAATATCTTGTAGTCGCAATATTTACTGTGAGGAAAACCTTCGGGAAACGAGCAATCTTGAACAAACGCAGATCATAATAATAATAATAATAATAATAATACATGTGACTTGTATGGCGCTGTAAGTTAAGCTGCTTTAAGGGAAGATCAACAGCAACCTAGAAGTTCAAAGTTTCCTCCACGGCAACATTACACCGATCAGAAGAAAAACCAACCAACAAAGCAACGAGGACTAGGGTTAACTGCTATAAAGAGACGTTGCACACGGCAGGAAAAACAAACATGTCCTTTGATAAACTAGAGGTCAAAAAGACGTGTTAACTAAAGCAGGAGGTGTGGTTTCATGACAGTAGATTGGTCAAGACGAACACAGATTTGTTAAGTGTGTAGCATGTCTGTATTTAACTTGAAAAACAAAGGGCTGACTTCTGGAAGATTCCTCAATATGCTCTTGACATTTGACTCAACGGTTTTAAAAAACAGAATGGGGGGTTGACTGGAGCTCGACCCCGCTCACAACCATTTGTAGCTTAATCAGAGGATTTAGTGCTAAGCTGACGGGGGTCGTGTTCGTCCTAATTAAGAACAAGAACTAATTGGCTCTGGTTTGAGATGAGGCTAATTGGCGAGCGTGACGAGGGGGAAGAGTTTGGGCGGTTAGGGTGGGTTGTGGCCGGCATGTAAGATCAATAACGATTTTGGCTAATAAGGTCTTCCTGTGGTGGTGGGCATGACCACTCACCTCCAGCCCTGAGCTTCATCAAAGCAGATATACGAGATGATCAGATGCTGATGAATCGGCTTTTTACTGCCACGGACTCTCATTAGTGACTGAAGCACAGCGTGATGTAAAAACGTTGTCACCTCAAGAACAAAATACAGACATTGATGTATTGCTTCGTAAGATCTCATTTTATGTAAACGCATATCTTTTCCTTTGAGCGCAGCATCATTGGGGGATTTTTTGGGAGTTGACCTCCATGTAGGTAGCAACATCGCTTCGTTAACCACGGTTGAAAGAACCCCTTATGCTGCTTTCACATATGTAACATTCCCATATACCAAAGACCATTATCAAAGGTTGTTTTAATATTTCGCAAATAAAGACTCATTCGATGTAAGAGCTGTTTTAGAGGCCACCTCTTAATTGGATGAGCTGACAAGAATCCTGCAAGATCATTAGCTTTTATAAAGTCAAACTATTGAAAGGCTTTCTTTATATTTTGGCCAAGTTGCATGGTGTTAATGATGCTATGTTTGCCGCATCACTGCATTTAGCATCTCCTTCTTATCAGTGCTTTAACAACCCATACCAATGGTGAGTGAAGAACAAAAGCAAGAACCCTGACCTAGCATCCATGTAGCCGCAATAATGACGTCCATATTCGACAATTACTTCAAATGCTCAACCAATATTGATATCGTTAAAGCTGGCTGCTATTTCACTGTTTAATCATTTTATAACCAACTTCTACTTCCCTCATTTGTATATGTTCACATGCTTGTGATAATGCTGCCACTTGTTTTTATACCATTTGATTTTCATGTTATCAATGCCTGCTTCTTGATTTCATTTGTTTTGGTTTTAATTGTACTCTTTTTTTTTGCCATTTTATCTGCAATTGATTTTATGATGCAGGTTTCCATGATGTTGGACGAATAGAGGTCTTCTGATTCTGATACAATGCAAACCTTTGGACCCTTTTACATTCCCAAGAAAATAATAACGGTGCTGAGATTGGGATGTAGGACTGAAATGTAAGACACTGGACTTTTTGTAACCTTTCCCAACTGTTTGAGTTGCCAAACCCTAACCCTAACCCTAACCCTAACCCTAACCCTAGTATAGCTAAATCAACGTGTGTTTGGTGGTTGTCCGTGTTGTTTCATGAACCATAGAGGGTTTCAGCAGCAGCATCAGTAGCATTGATTTCTCATCAGTATTTAAGGGAAGTTTTTAAAGTTCTAGGGTAACCCCTGGAGGAGGAAATGCTATCTCTGCAGCTCTGAAGCCTCCCCTCGGCGAGGTGCTGTCTGAGGGCCGTAACGCTGAATTCAAGGTTGCCTCTATTAGTCAGGGCTATTTAAAATGGAGTAGCCCTCCTGAGTTTTCCCCCCCTGTAGCCCTTATCTGCACTCCTGAGTTCCAGTTAACCCCGGGGACACTCGCTCGCCCTCACTGCCTCTCTCTCTGCATAATACACTCCGCTACCTTGGTCACCATTTTCCGGTCAAACTAATTAGATTTCAGAGTCCCCGGTCGGGAAGATGTCAGTGGTATGAAATGGAAATAATTTCCAGATGAGTGTTTGACATTTTACGCTGTCGACAAGAGTAAAGAGCCCAGTCATATTGGCTCTCTCCCCCTCGTCTTCCCCCTTCCTCTTTTCTGCTCTACCAATTCAGTCGCAGAGATATGCTAAACCCCTCGTGCCTCAGTACGGGGTGATAAATGGAAGCGAATGTACACAAAAGAGAGCTTCTCCTTTTTCTGCTTCTGCTTGAAGTGTTAATGTGTTTAATTACTTTGAAGTGTGTGTGTGTGTGTGTGTGTGTGTGTGTGTGTGTGTGTGTGTGTGTGTGTGTGTGTCAATGTAACCACTGCCAGAAAAGGAGGGAAACGAGCTCTCGAGCTGCTGATGTTCTAGTTAAATCTCGGACTGCTTCTGTTACAGCTTAATGAGAAAGAGAAATAGGACACTCAAAATCTTAGACTTCGAAAAAAAAATCTATGTGAAGTTAAATTAAACCCAGTTAATCACAAATCAAACCAACAGAACTTTAAACCAAATAATCAAACAGCCCAAAGCTGCAGTTTTACAATCAGTTTCTCAAGACAAATGAAAAACTTGAAATATGAGAAGACAAAATTATACTCATATTTTAACCAAAGATGGGAAAAATGGTTAAGGGTTACAACACGAACCATTACTTACGATGTGACAGTTACCGTCCATGTTGTCCCTTTTCTCTTATTTGTGGATGTTTAGTTTATGTTTTTATTTGTATAACTGTATTTCACTGTTTTGTGTATGATTTCTTAAAACTAAAGTCTCCATCTTTCCTTGACGTTTTCAAGACGTTTTCGGTACATCAATATCCAAGCTACTATATTCCGTAATATTTGTACTTATAGTTTTTTATGTTAAATCCTTTTCTTTGTTATTTATTTAGATAATTCTGCTATTCTGGCTCCTTCTCTGATTTCCTCTTAACTGTGTTA